AACCTTTCGCGAACCTTTCGCCGCCCTTTCGCGAGCTTTCGCCCGCAGTGTTTTTGCATCATGCGTCCCCGTGCTTATATATTTTAAAACATGGGTTTTTGGACGATCCCGAAATGATTAGGCCCCCATCCCATCAGGCCGTACTGATGAACGCATCCATCAGCAACGTCTGCTTCTCCATCTCGCGCTCCTCGCGCAAGTGTCGACTCATTGATCGGTAGCAGCATCAGTATCAAAGTTTGTGAAGGATTTCCACCAACTACTGACCCTCACTGCCTCGCATTGACAGGTGGTGCCAACTGCATAAGATGGACCCTGCTATACCCTGCTCTACCCTCCTGGCAAACGCATAAAACAGAAAGGCTAGAATTTGCGGCTCCTGCTGCTCAAGCTGCTGCTGGTGCTCGTTCAGCTGCTGATCATTCTGCTCAAGCCGCTGATCCTCCACACAAAGACACCTGAGACGCCTGTAGCAACTTTTGTTTACATGCGCTATTCAAGGAGCCTGCTGTTGTAGCTGCAGCTGCTGCTCCTGAGGCTTCACAGACTTGCAAAACGTGGAGCCACAATTTGTTGCTTGTGCGGCTCCTGGAGTTGCTGATCCTGCCAAATCGCACACCAGGTGACAAACATGGCCACATGCTTGTGTGTCAATTAGAGTCACAGTTGCTGCTTCAAGACCAGCTGTCCATCTGCGCCAGCTCGTCATCCTGCTGCGCGAGGCGCTCCTCCATGAGCTGCATCTGCTGCTCCTGCCATTTCTCGAAGCCGTCTGACACATCTGCGAGCACCAGAGATCACCAGAGCCACAAGTGTCAGCCCTGCACCGCCTGGGCTTCTATCCTCTGCTGCTGCGTGGAAATGAGCTCACCCTGGCCTTACAGCAGCGGTGATATCCTTTACGCTGTCTCGGCTTCAAGTGTAAGCAGGTTGCCTTCACAGGTTCGAACGAGCTGCTGGAGCCTGAACACGGTCTAGTCACGTCATTCTCAGAGCACTGAAGCTCGACATCAAAGCTGCCTTTCTGTCATCTGCCTATCGGAGCGGCGCTTCTCCTCCTTTTCACATAAAGTTGAACAAAAACGTCACCTGGGTGTGGCTTTTCCCTCCGCACCAAACTTCCCATCAACCAGATGGGCACACCAACATTGAGCAGGTTAATCACGGTCAAGCATCACAGGCTTCAGACAGAACCAGCAAGATAACGACACTCAGGATTACCAAAGTAGATCCTCCATGGCAGCAAGTCTTTCGCCCAGCGTTTGGATCTGCGAAAGGAGCACCGCTGTCTCCTCACAGCCCATGAGACAAGGCATTGGAAGAATCTGAGGTCTCAAAGTCGGAAGGAGGTCTCGCCTCTTCGTCAGCTTTACTGGGCCTGACACCGTGCTTGTGCAAGGTTAAATATGAAGAGACACAACATAGGTGCGTAACTGTAGCCTCACTGCCCCCCTCGCATTATTACAGCTTATTCCAACATAATGCCTCAGAGTAGCCTGTGCGGAACTGGAGCGAGCTGCTCGGAACGCCCGGATGGAGCCTCTGACCTATCTGCCCAAGCTTGCGTTCTCTGCGGCTATGCGCACGTTGTGGCCAGCAACACTATGGCATCTCAGCAAACCCACTTCCACAAGATACCGTGTTCATGAAGCATCCAAGCACCCAGCCAAGGCGGCATCGCAGCCTGTGCTTCTGCGAAACTCATGGCAGGGGCCCTGGTCCCTCCCAACTACACTGGCGAAAGCCTGAAATACCAGATAATAGTCCATGAAAAGCCAAGCAAGGTATGTCAGCCCCATCAGCCATCAGGAGGAGGCTTGCATTGGGTATGTTGAGCTTAATTCTTGGTGCGAGGCATCTGCGTCCGGAGCTTCGGTGGATTCCTGTCACACATAGTCCGAAGATTCCTGAAATTATTTCGATCCGCCCACTGGCTTAAGAGCTGGTGCAAAGTGATCTCCGTGGGCGTTGATATTTGAAAGTCTGCCGAAAACACCCATCCAGAGACCTATCCGATCCGCCTGCAGTCCATCTTATGCCGCTGTAACCAACCGTTAAATCTGGCACTAAGTTCCTAAACTAAGTTCCTAAACCCTAAACCTGCAAGCATTCTCAACTCCACCACCCTCAAGCCCAAATCAATTAATGATTGAGGAATCCCACCTCCTTACATTGCAAGCCCAGAGCCCGTCTCTAATCAGAAGCCATATCCTCTTCAGTCGCAAAATTCCAATTCATAGCCTGGTGCGATCCAACATCCTCCGGCACATGGTAAGGCGATCCCTTGGCATCATTTATGCAGCCGAGGGTTGCCCAACTTCACGATGATGCGTTGCAGCTTCGCTAGGAACATGGTCTTGTCATGTCTTGTCTTGTGACATCAAAGCTTGGATGGCCCAGCTAAGCTCTGCACGTCAGAGGGCTCTTGCGGCAGAAGGGGCCTCACCGGACAGCACTCTTGCGGGGTGCAGAAGTGTCTGGGTTCTGGCCAGCTGCCGGCTGCCGGCTGCTGCAAGAAGCTGGGGGACGCGCGCAGATGAGGCTGGCGATTGAGATGGATGATCTCCGCCTACACCTGGCTGAAAGTCACAACCCAACAAGCTCCAAGCGGTTCAGGTCTGCTGGCCTGAAGCTTCCATGCTATCTGGCATCGAGGACCCTGCCTGCTGCTTTGAACCTGAAGCATGTAACCTGGTTGTTCTTCTATGCTGGAGAGCACAGGGTCCCGCACCTGATCTGATGGGCCGGCTTAGAGGCCTGGGCTCCTCAGAAACACCATGCGATGCCGCGGCCTGTGAACCAAGATAGCTCATGCGCGAAGTCCTCAGCATCCTCCACTTTAGTGGCTCCTGCCGCTGGCTTCCTGCGATTCATTCGCTGAAAAAACACAGATCAGAACAACAGCGAACGGATAATGTCACGCAGCTTGTAAGCACATGGCTTTCTTGCTCTTGTGGCAACGCCAGTGCCAGGACCTGTGGGCGCCTGCAAGCATCATGCTCTTCTGTTTTTCTGGTTCGTAGGACTCTTGGAAGCATTCAACTAAAGCATGGAACGATCCTTAAAAGCAGAAATAGAGCTCCCCACTTGGCTTTCAAATGCCGGCTCAAAATGCACTGAGCTCCCCCAAAACTTCACTCTGCTCAACACGGTGCTGGTGTTGTGCTGTGAGTCGAGCGCGTTGCCTCTTCTTTTTGAATGTCATCAGCGAAGTTCAGTGTTGACGCTGGCAAGGATCTCTGCTCGTGCCAATCAGAAGTCGGCCAGTTGTTAGGCCAGGGCCATTTGCTGATTTGTAGGAAGCTGATGCGTCATGACGACAAGGTCACAATAGCCCTTAATATTCCTCCAAGATTGCAGGCCTCTGCAGGACCGATCCGATGGCCATTGTTTCCTGTGGAACGCTATGCAGGCTATGCAGGTTGGACTTCTCTACACTAAAATGCTCGAACACGAGAACAAACCGGCCAGACTTGCCAGCTGTCATCTCCTCGAAATAGGCCTCTCGTGAGTCACACAAGTCACAGGCATGTAGCAAAGCAGGCACAATGCACTCAGTACGGCTCAGCCTTGGATGGTTCTGCCAGGAAGCCATCAGCATCGTGATCAGCGGCTCCTGACGGCCACTCTGGAAAGAGCATGATGTTAAGGTCTAGATGCATTGATTCGCGCTCGCAATGAAACGGGCAAGCCTGAATCAGATTCGTCCTGCCAGAAAGCAGATGGAGCTCCGAACAAATCTCGTAGGCAGCTTGGACTTGCGCAAATTGTGGGACTCGGCCTTTGTCCGCCCAGGAGATTCTTGGGAAGCCGGAAGCTCCTCCTCATTTGGTAGAGCCCATTGCAGATTTGCACAGGGTTAGGGTCCTTTGCGCTGCAAAGTGCTCTCATAAGCGCCAAGTCCTCCATTTGGTCACAGTCCGGCAGGCGACCTCTGCCTTACAGTGGCCAAAGCTTCTGCTGTGCAGTCTCGCAAAAGCTTAAGGCATGGGCCACGCATGTCGCTTCCAGCTGAGCTGAGAAGCCTGTCCTCGTGAAATGGCATGCGTTGTGGCATTGGCGTTGCAAACCGTTGTGGCTACGCCATGGGAGGATTTATCACGTACAACGGCTTGATCTTTATGCAGAGGTCTCTATGCCGTGTCCTTAATTCAGTTTCCCAGCACCGCATCGTGTCATGACCACAATTCCACTTCACATGATGCATCCTCTATCCTTGCGTTCCGAGAAGGGCCAGCTACGCGCAAATTTCCACCCGATCCGAATCTGAATGACACTGCCCTGATCCAAGAAAAGCTGGATGCATACACCTTGCAGACCCAGCTGTAACAGCCTTGGCAAACAGGCTGCGAACAAATGGGTGGAGGAAGTCCTCCATCATTGGCATGCCCACAACGACATCCTCATCATTGTTAGCAGCTGGGTGCTGGTTGGCCTCGGATAATTTCAAACACATTCTTCCCAGCTGTGGTTTGAGTACATCAACAGCCAGCTGCACTACAGCTCCACAACAAGCTTGCGGCGGATTGAAAAAAGTTGGAGTTTGCAGGCTGGCTGAAGATGGAAACTCGTTCACGCTTTGGCCTGGCACGTATGTTTGCTGCGCATGGCTATTTGCAGCAAGGGTGCTTCTCAGTAACACATGATATGTCTGGTGCCTTGGCTTTTTGGTTGTGCTGAGGTCAGCATTGCTGAGCGCATTTTTCACGGCGATGTTCCGCGCCACCTCCGGAAGACAGGCAGATTGCGCGTCCACGTTGATCAGAGATGCGTGCCTTCTCCGCTGCAGCTTCCTGGAGCCTATGGCAAACTAAGACTACCCATGGGCTTGCTGAGAGTGCCGCGACATTGTGACATGGCAGAAATGCTGCAAGTCTTGACTAAACGCGGCTGCGCCTCTCTTGTCTGTCGCCGCCTCGATCTTCCTGCCCGAGTTTGTTGTCCAAAAATGCTCAGCCATATCGTTCTTCACCTTCAATTCTGCCCTCCCTGGCCCCCACCTATCCCCCCACTGCCTGCTGCCCCGCCCCCCCGTTTCCGCTTCAAAAAGGAAAAGTCGTGCTGCGTTTTCCCTCAGGCCTTCCCACCCGGCTGCGCCCCCATTCCCCAACCTTTTCCGGATCGTCGCTCCACTAGTATGGAATATAGGGGTAGAATCAAGGGGCAAAAAGGGATAATGGAAAATAAACTGGAGACTACTACGGTCTAAAAGGGTGTATATCGGGGCTAGTAAGGGAATTACCTTAAACCCAAACAACAACTTCCTGCCTCCAACCTGGAGTCCACTGATTGAGCTGGTTCGCGCTCCCGGGTGGCTGTCCGGACCTGGCATTCTCGAGCCATCAACTTACTGAGGGTCAGTAGGGAATAAGGGACTCTATTATATAGGGACGACATGGTGATTCTATTCCCGTATTCCCTGCTAATTCAGCCATTCAAGCCCCAGTAAGCCAATGATTCTGGGACATCCTCGAGGTCGGCCCTGAACCAGTGAGCAATGCAGCTCCACGACTTCTTCACCAGTTCTGGGGACTTAGCAAGCCAGGTAGCTCAGCAACTTCTGGATAACAACTGAGAAGCTGGTGCTGCGCTATTACACTACCAGAACTCCTACCAAAACACGCTATGACAAGAAAGGATTTTCATTCAAGAAAACTTCACTAATACTCGAACGACTTTCATACAAGGTGGTGGGGCTGCAAACCATGCACCCTGTACAAGTGCAGCTGCAGCACATCTAGAAGTGTTTAGCTCTCACTTCAAATTACGTCAAAACTCCCCTTACTCTCCTCCAGGCAATCTTGGAGGCTTGTCCTGACCGCGGTAACAGCTGCGGTAACACCGCTGCTAATCTGCTAATCATGCCAGCGGCTCATTTCTCGCCTGCCTCGCCCCAACTGGCAGGCAGGCACTGCTGGACGCTTTGATTGCACCAACGCCAAGGTGCCAATCCACACCACACCGGGAGAGCACTGCAGCAATGAAACATTGACATTATGAAGGCATGAACTCCCCACAGGCTGCCTTGTACGCCAATGGAGCTTTCGCTGAGCCGGGCCTTGATTTTTGCCGGATTCAGCAGACGCGAGCGAGCCTTTGAGATAGCGTGACCTGGTCTCGATCCCAAGATGTCGGGCCAGGGCTGTTAGACCTCAGCTTTCTTCGATCACAACTGTTGAGGACCGTTTGGACTCAGGAGCTCACCGAACCGCGACTCCCGACGTGCGATGAAACGTCGTCTGCGCCTTCCAGCGTCAATGGGAACCACCGTCCTTGAATTTTGTCAGACGTCTAACTGTGGTGCCTCCCGCTCCGCGTTTGCGACCTGTGCCTGATGTCTGGCCAGCTCTACTACAACCAAGTGCAGCTCGCCACTGGAACTTAAAAAGTTGCCAGGTGCCCAGCAGCACACGGGCTACTGGAGCGCAACGGCCTGAAATTGATGCTGCATGATGCTACGTTTTTGAGCAGAAAAACAAGCATTTGCTGTCTGAGTCTGGTGGGCGCCTGTCACTCCTCTCTCCTGCATGGCAGCTGGTCTCTGCTAAGGCTGTACCCTAATCTTTGCATCTTCTGATTCTTGCCCGTTCTTCCAACCCCAAAACACAAATGCAGGCGGTCTTTGGTAATCTGAATCTCACCTGCGCCATTTGCACGCCAACCCGGCCCTGCAAATGACCGGGGCACTCTTAATCTATCAGCGGTCCTGTAAAGGTTGCAGTTGGGCTGGGAGCTGCCTGGCAGCCACAATTTCGATCCCTTACCACCGAGCTCTTGCTACCTTGAGTCACTTCTGGCCTTCACGGTGACACACCACCGTAGCAGAACGTCCTTCACTGCTTCGCGGACTGCTCGAACCTTCATGTGCTGGTGATGGAGAGACATATGAAGAAGATATCTCAGTAACTCCGCTCAGGTTCGCCTTGTCGTCTCGCAGACCTTCCATCATCGCTGACAGCCTCTTCTGCAGCGGCGTTGGTCGCATTGACCTGCTTCAGAGAGATTGAAAAGACCCAAAAATGCTCTGTCAGGTTGCCACTGCTGGCGCTTGTTTATGGCACTAAGCTGCAAAATGTCGCAAAGGCGCAGGCGGGCTTGATGGCGGCGGAATCTGCAGTGATGTTCCCAGCTCAGCGTGGTCCCCAACAGCCTGCAAGACCTCCACCGCCTGCCATGCCCGGAATCAAGGAAGAAATTGCTCTCTCGGTGTCGATTGAAGGCCTGCTTCCTCGTCTGCCAGTCTGAAGTGGACGTCAAACAAATCTCCAAGCCTGAGCTTCATGGACTTCAAACACTCCTTTGCGTTTAGCTGTTTGCTCCACGGCTCACCAGCGACAAGGATTGCCATGTTCAAAGCACCAGGCGCCAGGCATGGCATAAGAGACGGAAGCACTTCGTCGAAGTCTACTAGGCTGACAGCCTTGATTACATACTAGACGTCACACAAAAGATGTTGCATGATGCTGCAGCCTGCATCACGTGGATGCACGCGCTCAGGAGCTGTGGGCGCGCCATGGCCAAGGGCAAGCTGAGATGTTGTACCTGATCACAGGGTGCCTACTCCCATGCAAAAACGTTTGAAGGTTGGAGAGGCACTACCGGCTTGGGTATGGAGGCAAAGATGCCTCTTTATGCTTTTTACGCAGCCTGGCTGAGGATCTTGCCAGCCGTGCACAAAGGCGCCCCAAATTCTCATTGAGCACAGCAGGCGGAGATCCCTGGCATTGCTTACGATCAGAGCTGTCTGATGTGACCGTGAAAACTTTGCGTCAGGTCAAAAATGCAGCGTCGGCTTGGATCACAGCGCAGATGCAAGAAGCGGCCCCAATCTGCACCTGCAACGCAAGAGCATGCAACAGCCCAAGAGCATCCGACGCTCTCCAAACTCAAGCTGTCACGGCTGACCCACTTGTTGTGCTCGCTGAGAGCTGCAAAGAGAGGCTTCAGCAGAGTGGCGAAGACGGGCGATCCATCAGCCTGGCAGACATCACCGAATACAAAGACACAACATTACGAACATCACAGGCCAGCTGAGCATCCACTACAAGAGCTCGAGTGAGTCGGAATACCTACATGTGCGACTGACTTGCATTGCAGGATCTCAGGGTTCTGGGCCGCTTCACGAACAGACTCATGTGTTTGTACCCTCCAATGCCCTTAGGCTTCAGAAATGGAGTAGAGCGCAAACCTACATTGTACTGCAGAGACTACTTTCCTTTGCCCTGACTGTGACTGAGCCCGCGTGCTGTCTCTGCGCAGGCTTCCCGCAGGTGAAGGTCTGCATCCTGCTAGTCATCAAGGTTTCGCAGCACTGCGAGAACTGGCTCACTGCCTGCAGTCGTGTAAGAACCACCTGGAGCATGCGCTGCAAGAGGGGTACGACCTTGGTCAGCATGCGCTTGTACGTAATGTCAGAAAGTTTCACTCAGAGCTCCTGGGCTCTAGACAGCATCGCCATGAAGTTCAGCCAAAAGACCAAGCAGCTTGACGCCTCGAGGTTCAGATTTGCTTGGCCGCCATTCTCTCGTGATTTTCAATATTAGTCTACGAGCCGGGCTCTCGCAGCGACCCAGCGGCTTCAAGTTTGTACCAGCCTAGTTCAGCAAGGCTTCAGAAATGACCGTGGCACCCTGATAGCTCCAACCCTGCAGGCCTCACCGATGGAGCTGATTACCATCGGAAACCTGAACAAGGCGCTGCAGCGTCGCAGCCGGTACGCTTCATCACTGTGCAGAGGCCGCTGCCAGTCAGGATACAAAGTCTGAAGAAACCTTACGGAGTCCAAACGCTGCTAAACCAAGGATGATCAAATGCGCAGATTTCCGCGGCTCGGGTCAATGCGGCACAGAAAGCTGTGGCCCACACTCTCTGATTTCCTCAATGCCGGCACGCTGCGTGTCCTGAAGTGCAAGACATTACTTCCCGAATGCTTCCGATGCCGAAGCAACAGCCTGATCATTGAGGCGGCTGAGCGCGAAGTCCAGCTTGGTTTTGAGTTCAGCTAGAGCCTGAGAGCAAACTGCTCAGTGCGAGCAACTGCTGTTCTGATCGTCGCAATCCAACTGAGACACGCCCGCTATCGGGAAGTACAAAAGTCGTATGTGCAGCATCGAGCCTCCTTGCTCTCACGATTGGTGTAGCGGGATGCAGCTGTTGGTCTCGGGCAGATTTCAGCTTCCAGTTCGCATTGCATGTACTGTAGGCCGTCTTTTGCAGAGGCCCTGGCGCTGCTCCCACTGGCGAGACCACCATCTCTTACGTAAGGCGGCCTCAGATAGGCTTTTCTAGCCAGTTTTGAGCATGCATGTCGAACCTTGACATTCGCCGGGATGGAAGAAGGCCACTATCAGCCAGCCGCATGGCATGAGTGTGACAACAAGAAGAAATCCCTGAGACTGCAATGGTGTGACTGCGGTGCGTGCTAAGATGCACACTGCAAAATAGAACATATTTGCCCGGAGGTCAACATCAACGCATGTATGTATGGCATGTAGTCTACGCGATGTTCGTGTCTTGCCATGTCTTGGACAGCTTGGCAGCCAAGTCCACACACTTATAAGGAAGCTGCCAGGTGCCAAGTGCAACGGATATCAAAGGTGGAGCACAATGCCTCTTTTCGTGCACTGTCGCGAGAGGCAGCTTCGCATCCCTGTGTTGGCTATCTTTGAGGGCTGCACAGGTCCGACAGACACCGACACCGAGTCCAAGCATGCCCGAGACAGGGGTGATGAACGGTCCTCCATCTCGCTCAGCGCGCGGAACTTCTGCTGGTCAATCTGACGCATGCAGACCAAGCAAGTAGTGGCAGTCACTCGATGTCCTGAGAAAGCACACTTTCACGGATACCCAAACGTGAAAAACCTAAGATGATCTTTGCAGTCATGGCACACGGGGTCGAACTGGCTCAACACAAGCTCCTTCTCGGGCTATGCATATGCCGGCCACGGCATGGCCTTTGGCGCATGCCTCGAGCAGGGCCTGCAACACTGTGAGGCTGCTGGGAGCTTGAGTTCTATCTTCCCACCTTGTGCTCGGCGTTGGTGTTAGGCTTTGCCCCGTGTGCCAGCCAAGAAGATAGGAAGCCGGCGATGAAAGCATCGCCACAGCCTGTGACATCCACGATGCCTCGGCCCAATGCGGACAAGCAGCAGGCTATACACTGAGCAGTTTGCCAGCTGAGCTGCGAGTGGCTGGCTTGGTTGGCACATATATGGGGTGCATACCCTGACGATAAACAGTGCAACCATGCTCTCCTTGTGTGACCACCTTGCATGTGCTTGTCTTGGATCACTCCACGCTGACGTGCGGCCCTGTGCGACTTCCCATACCAAGCATCTGGCAAATGTGACAGTTGGATATCTCTTGCACCTCGACTTGAATCAAAATGCAGCAACATGCCAAGTTCAGCATCCACTACAAGGCTGTAGGAATTTGCTGAAGTGAAGAACAAAGCCAGCAAGCAGCTTGGCATGGACATGCGAGCGGCAATGCGCTCATGGAGTGATCTCCGTCATGGCATAGCGCAGCGCAAAGGTGCTCACCTTCAGAGATATTCACCTGAAGACACACGCAGCTCTGCTTAAGTGGCAGGGTTGGCAACAGCCGTTCCTCGAAAAAACACATACACTACATCTCAATAACATGGTTGCGCGTCCCGGATCCGGGATATGTCTGGCTTGAGTAGCTGGTATGCATCAGCGGCCCGTTTTGGAGTCGGGAGCAAGAGTCAAATATAGTCAAATACTTCCAGTTGCTACGGTAGACATATTCAGCAGAACGTGCGAATCGTCTCGGCAGAACATTCTAGGATAACTATCGAGCAGGAATGGAATGACTGTAGAATGGAACCCTTGCCAGGTACGCGACCTGCCATGATTCATGGACTGATCTGCAAGGGGAATTGGAACAAATATCCAGACCTTGTGATCCGATCCCTTGATACACCAACAGCAGTGAGAAAACCCAACTGCCCGAAAAAAAATACTTCGAGCTCCCCGTTTTTGGACAGGAAATGTAATGTTTCCGGGAGGATTGGGGGCGAGAACATTACAGAGTATGGTGCGACAATGACGCCTTGAAAGTTGTTGCACGTGTGCGTGCAATTTTTTGCCCGCCCCCGCCCCTCTCCCCTCCGTTGGTGCGCGCATAGCAGTCGAGCATTGTAATTGGCGAAATCAGCAAAAGTTAGCATCTGGCATTGCAAGGGCTGGGCACCACAAGAAGACTTGGCCACTGAGCACTGCAAAAATACTGCGGGTTTGGGCATTGCAGGGATACGTTGCCATGGGCCTTGCAGAAATGCTGCAGGGTTGGGCGCTGCAGGGATTGGCCACTGCAAGAATACTCTGCGGTTGCTGTTGGCCACAGGAAGACTTTGCCCTTTAGCAGTGCAAAATACTGTGGGTTTGGGCACTGCAGGGATACGTTGCCATGGGCACTGCAGAAATACTGCGGGGTTGGGCACTGCGGGGATATTTTGCGGGTGGGCACTCCAGGGATACTTGGTGGTTTGGTGGCGCAAAAACCGAAAGGATACTTAGTGATTGGATACTGCTGGGATACTCTGCGGTTGGACACTGCAGGGATGCGTGGTGGTCGGGCACTGTAGGGATGCTCTGCGGTTGGGCCCCGCAATCAGGCTCCGGGCGGAGGGCGAGGACAACATAGACTTTAAAATCTAACAACCCCACTGGAAGGGTGGGGCAAAAAACGGCACTCCTGCGCAATAAATCCGGTCAACAAACGACAGTACACATTGGCTTACGCTCACCGCGCTCCCTTACCCTCGTGGATCTGCCAGTATGTGGATGTATGTGGGAGCACCACTTCGTCAGGCTTCGTCGAGGTCATTTCTTCTCGTCTCATGCACGCGCAGGAGCCCACGAACGGATACAAGGCTTGCGAAGGAGATGTTGCGACTTTGTTTACAGTTCGTGCCATTGCAGGCACTCCCTGCTATGAAGCCTGACCGTCTGAGAATTGCGGCAGGCAGCTTTCGTTCTGATGCCTTCTGGAACTGGTCTCTGCAATCTCACTATTTGCAGCTCGATGTACGAAGAGCAGGTCCACGAGCGGAAGGAACTCCTCCAAATGGTTCCCTTCACCACACCAGTGTCCAGCTGCATCACACCTTGGCAGCATCAGCTAAAGCAGCAGCAGCTGGCTTGTCTAACTTGATATCCAATTCATGGCAGGGGTGCTGTGTGTTCATGGAAATAGTCATGCCGTTGGCTCTGCAGCTTCGAATGAAATTGGTGAAATCTTGGCTCTGCAAACCTTTCCAGCAGTGGCGCAGCAGGCATAACAGCTCCCTCTCTCTCTGCTCATCATGGTCAACTCAGGTGGCCTTTCATATTGAAGTAGCCACCCCAATGGAAATGACTGCATGCTTCCAATTCACTGGCCTGCCAGCAGCTGGATTTGGACTCCCAGGAACAATGCATGCTCCACACTCTGACTGATGATGCGAGCAAATGACACCTGCTCGTGGAGGTCACGCGTGGTGAAGGCATCATTTGTAGAATAGCAAGAGACGAAGGCGCGATCAACCGGTCCAGAAAGGACGACGCACACCGCAGATGGCAGACTGCTGAACATTTTGATCGTCTCTGTCGGAAATCCTTGCCCAGCAACTTGATGCAGCAGAGATCGCCCCAGAGTGTCATCCCCAACCTTGGTCTACTCAGAATTGAGGGCAACATGAGTCTCCCTCGAAAGAAAGAGAATTCTAGGACATCAAGCAACCTGCCCACAAATCTCACAGTGGATGGTAAGCGAAAGTCCTTGCCTGATGCTTCATGACTGCTCGAGCCTTTATGATTGCTGATGAGGCCCGCACGGCACCAAAAAAACGAACTCGCGTCCCCAGGGCGTGCAAGTGGCGGCCCTGATTTAGCGCGCTGCCACCCGGGAGCATCTTTACACTTTCCGCCTCCACATCGGAGTCCTCAGACTATGCTCAGACGTACTCCCAAGCGATCCAACACTAAGCAGCTTGGCGATGAACCACTGAGTACTGAGTGTCCCTCCCACATGGGAAGCTTCTTGACAGGCGCCACTATGTCAATAAAGATGTCCCCGGTCATGGCAACGCAGGGGGTCCGTTGCTGACAGGTAGTTGTCCTGAAGAAGATGGCAAATGCCCAGCAAAGCAATGAAGACCGCAAAGATCTGCAGTCGGCAGAGGAGCTTTGTTAAGAAGCTGAGTCTCTTGGGTCGCAAGCCAGGGGCAGCCGGCCAACGAATAGCATCCTTCCACGGCACCAGGAGCACTGCATTCTTCAAACGTCATGAACCCCAAGAAGTCAATTTCATGTGTCTATGTCACCTGCACGAAGTACCCGGTGCCCAGGATCGCGGCTGATGATCGCGTTACTTGTCTGGCCCACGCACCAAAGCGCGCCATTCCCGGTGAGTTCGTCAATCCGTGTGAAGAGACAAGATCTGTACATGCGCCCCGTGCCATGTTGTGTAGCCTTGCAGAACCTCAACCCAGTGTCACAGCTCTTTGGTACTTCGTACTACTGCTTTTGCTGATCCATGTGCACACACATGCCTAGCATGTGTGAAGAAATGTCGGTTTTGCAGCCTTGCTGATATGGTACGCAAAACAGGTGACCTTCCATGTCCTGCTTCGGTACGGTCCGAACGGTCCGATATGAATGCCAAAGAGCCGTTTTGTCAACTGCGCACGGCGAGCTTCTCGATGTCTCTCAGGATTGTCCTCGAAACAATTTGGGTTCCAATATTGGTCTTGGTTGCTTGAAGAAAGCCAAAGCAACTGACAAGAGGCCTACCTGCGCATCTCTGGCAGTGTTGTGCGAAGCTCATCTTCCGCATCCTGCTTCTGCAATCTCCATCTCCGAATTGCAGTGCTCCTTGCAAACACCGTCTGCACAGGTAAGTGCTGGTACCATGCTTTGACACACCTTGGCTCTTGGATTGGCAGGTCTGTGATGTCCAATGGCAAAGTGAGCCCTCAGCTGTCAGCGGTCAACTTCAGCCGGATCTGGTCGGACCGATGAAGTGCGTCCTAAGCCCGTGACTCTGCTTGTAGAGCTCCGCCATTTCGACTTCGTGCCTTTCAAGCCTTAACCCAGCAGACTGTGAGTTCTGATCGGCCTTGCGTTGCGATGCAAGCCAAAGACTCAGAAGCCCACTTTGAGCGAAAGTTCATGTGTCGGCAGCTGGCTGTCAAGTCCGCTTGGCGGACCTCTTTGGCCAGCCTCATGCTGCACTACCGACTCGGCTGTCAATCTGTAAGAGGTTTACACGTGTACAGCTGTAGAGCAGCAGAAGGCATTAATGTCCGCCTGCTGAGCCTTTCTGCCGTGTCTGGCTCATCAGTGTCCTGCTGAGCAGCTCAGCGGATCTTAGCAGGTTCTTCATAAGTAAAATGGGTGAATCTTCATTGAGAGACCAGGGATAGCACCAGGCGAAATGGACGCTGCTTCGCTCCTGGAAACAACAATCACATGCGTCAAGTTCACCTCATCTCGCCTCCTTCAGACATCCATGAAGTACAAGTACTGCAGGCCTTGGCCGATAGTTCCCCTGGCCCCGCGCTGCACGCCTGGAGCATCTTCAAGTGTAGCAAGAAGACTACGTAAGTAGGCTTTTCACTTCTGTGAAAGAGCCTACTTCAGTCTCGTCATCCTCCTCCTCCGGTAACCCCAGGAGGAGATCCCGGCATTTCTTCAAGGCCTCCGGGTGTCTGACTTTACACTCCCCTTAAACAGGAAAGTTGCTATCCAGAACTTGGCTTGCGGCTATTCGCTCTTGCTGCTTGTCCTTGAAGCGACCTGAAGTTCTGACAGAATGTCATTAGCTCAACTTGGGCGTCCGTGTACACAATCATGGGTAGATTACTGACCAAGCTCGTACTGCATCACACTGCTAGATACTGGTGGACACAGGTCACCTAGCGCCATTCTGGAATCTCCGGCTCCGGATGCTCCGCGTGCTCTGGCACCGATCCATCAGGGATGCCCAGGATGTTGCGTAAGGCTTTCCAGACCACAAGCCGCACACACACGATCCAGAACTTCACTTCAAGGCAGGCACGCAGGGGGCACGGCAAGATCCTTGGACATGTCAGCCTTGCCGAAGTGGGCCTTCCTCTCGCAGCCAAGTGTGTACTTGAGTGCTCGCCATCGGTTGAGGATAATACTTCTGCGTTCCTTGGCTCAACTAGCCTGTGGAATCTACTTCTACCCCTCGTTGGAGAGCGAACGGGTACGCCACCTCTTCCAAAGTGAGGCCTTCGGGCGGTGCAGTGGGTATCTGTCGTCGGTCTGCCGCTGCCAGGCTTGAGGCTGCTACGCGGCCTTTGCCAACTTCAACAAGTCCCCCAACGATTCGGCGAACCATCTTATACAGGAAGCGCTCTGACACCGCGAGGATCAGAATCCTCTCTCTCCCAGTCACTTGCATGGACAGCTCAACGACTTTCACCACGGACCCATGGTAATTTGGATCATTCTCTCCGGCACTGAAAGCTGAATAGTCTATCTGCCTGCCACTCATGGCACCAATGGCCTCTTGCATAGCCTCCAAATTCAGGTCACCACACAGCCAGCAGCGCCTTGCATCGAAAGGCATCACTAGGCTCGTTGTCGAGAGCCGGTATGAGTATCGCTTCCGCACGGCACTTAGCCTTGAATGGAAGTTCTGAGGCGCCAGGCTCAGCTCAAGGGCCAAGATGGCCTTCGGAAGCGTCAAACGAAGCCGGCGGAGGGCTGCTTCCGGATCTAGTCGGCTGTTGCTGTTGGCCCAGGTGGGTGGCGCCTCGAAGTGGCAGACTTGACCTGAGGGGCTGCAAAACCGTCAAGAACTAACGTTTATCACCATGCAGTTGGCCAGCCTTGCGCATGAACTCCGCTATCTGTACGAGATGCCCCCACGGTTCGAATAGCGCTTCGAAACACCAATGATAGGGCTTTGTCGACTTCAGCTTGAATCGTGCGCACATCCTTCAGGGCTGCACTGCTAAGCATGCAATTGCTTTTGCTCATGTTCACAAAGCCTATCACTCTTATTGCAATCGCCTCAGACTGCTTCTGCCACCCCGCGAAGTCCGTTCCATCGTAGGCCAGCTTCAAATACCAAAGTTCTAAGGGCTCGGATTCTTCAGAGGGAATCGCCTCCCCCGGACCAGCTGGACCTGTATGCACCTTCGGCATAAGGGCCTTCACCCTTGCGGCTCCGATCCAGCAAGCGAAGCCACATACATTGCAGGTCGCAGCCAGCGTGTCCGGCCCCCAGTCTGCAAGGCAACCGCTGCGCCGACTACTTTGACCAGCCGACATCTTGTAAGCAACTTTTACAACCCTTCTTCCGCACAAGTCTTTTACTGAAAGGCGTAGGGTTGTCTGTTCTTGTTTGGATCTCTGAATCTTAGTGCCTGCATGTGCCTCCGTAGATGGGGGTCAGCAGCTTGAGCCGTGAAGCGTGTGGCTGGCTGAAACTAACGCCGTCTTTGATCGCAGATACTGCTACCAACATGTCTGAGGATGCAGCGAAGCGTCACTTTCTTGGCCGCTAGGTCCTTCAGGAACTGGCTTCCCGAAGCAACCTGCGCACCAACAAAATAAAATTAATGAATAGAGATGCCGCTTTCAGGCCAGCACCTTGCTGGACACATCATTCGAGCCGGTTGACCCTTTGTTCATGCCTGGCGACATGTTTGCAGCCCTAGTGTCCGGACCAACTTCAATCAGCCTCCTGTCACCGGGAGAAAAGGCTAGCTGCTGCGGATTCGTGGCCCAGCATAGTTCCCCGTTGCTTTGAGCAAGGGGCTTTGAGCTTGAGCCCTTCATGTCTTCGTCGGTTTGACCGGCCCAGCCGCACATGTTGGGCAACAGTCTCAATTGGCAGAGCTGATTGTCTCGCGCAACTAAAGCAAACCAATCGTGCTATGTGACATTAGCAGACGGCCTCAAATCTTTGGAGGCACGTCGGGGGCTAAGCTTTGCATGTGAATCACGATCTTGGATTTCCAAAGGTTAGCCTGGCAACACATCGCGAGCGAGATTACTTGAATGCGCAATGCGAAGACCTGCGCATGCTTGTGTTTGATGATCTGAGCCCTGGACTTCTGCAGGTTTACGGCAAAATCAGATTGAAGGGTATGCCTTGCAGCATCAATTCTGACTTTTTGTTTGCCACATCTGCAAGCTCCGCACTGAAGAGCTTTGAGATCGGCCTTCGGGGCAAAGGGTAGCAGCTGTCTGATTTCTACTACAAGCATTGCTGGCGCCTCAATGACTTGGTAAGCCGTTTCTGGCCGAATCTCCTGCCCAAATGTGGTGATGCTATGCCTAACACGTCTACCATTGGCACAGGAACCAAACCTCCAGCGACGATTGCAGCCTGATGGCTCCCGCTGTGTCAATACGCAACATGCAGCAGATGCTCAGTCGCAGTCCATTGACATCTGGTTTCAAGCCACGCCCGCCTGCACCGTGCGACATCGAAGACAAGTTCTGTCTGTGCAAAAACAGCAACTTGCAGACATGCAGGACATGAAGGACCACTTCGCACCTGTTGGTACAAAGTACATTCTGCCAGCTGTCCAGCACTAAGCGCTTTGTGCACAGCTGAAACTCCGAAGTTCGTTGCCTCTCAGGCATCTGCCATGTCTGCATGGCAGCTTCATTCATCTTGCTCAGATGCTGACTGCTCGATTGCATGTCCACGCTTCCTCCCTTAGCCGCGAACCATCTGGCTGGGGTTCTGTGGCAAACCGGTGAACCACAGGGCTCACACCTCGATGCTTCCTGCGAAAAGCCTTTAGCTTGGGCAGTTCCCACGTGCTGCTCTTGCAAAACATCTGGATGCTGCTTGGACGGCTCTGGTCTCATGAACCGCTGTCCGCCAGGCAGACCAAAGAACGGCAACATGACCTCGAAGGATCATAGCATAGTCAGACATCGTGCCCTGTATTGCAAAGAAGCTTCTGAGCAAGTGACCCTTAAGACGATGATGGGAGTTTGCACGTAGGCTCCTTCATTTGGCAGAGGCAAACCATGAGCCAACGTGGAGGGCTGTCACCTCTCAATCCAGCTGTCGCGAACCAGGGATTCCAACCGCTGCTGTGCCTCTGGCCCTTTCTGGACCTGGCCAACACGTTGCCAAACCCACAGACACACTAGTCTTACTGGGCCTTAGCAGGAAATAAGGGAAGATATTGTATCTATATCGGCTTTATACTCTCTATACTCCCTTATTCCCTACTATTACAAGGAACCAATAAGTAGTTGGCAGGTTGGATGACACCTTGCGACTGCAAGCCAAGAGCCAGGCCTCTCCACGGACCAGCTCCAGCGCGGCCTGTGCTGTGACAATGCTGGGATGTTCCGATGCCTTCATTAACTTATTGGCTCTCAGTAGGGAATGCAAGAATATAATCCCGATGTAACACCCATATCATATACTCCCTCATTCCCTACTAAGCCCCAGCAAGTCAAAGCAAGTGTCAGATTGCCTCACCCTTTGCCGCGCGGACTTCCTGCATCATGATTTTGACATGCTTCAGCGCACCGCAGAGGCCATGTTTACAAGCTCCTGCACCCAGGCCAGGAAACCGTCTTTAAGGTCCTGGCCATGCCATTCAGCTGAAACAATACACACCACCGAATTATGCAATCGCCCACCAAAAAAAATCAAAATAAAATGCTCAAAATTGCTGAGCTCCAGGCCTCAAAGTGTTGCAGACTGGTGATGGATCGGTAGGTCCAACTCCTGGCAGTGTATCGAGTCTGGAATATGCGTCCGTGAGCCTGATCCGGCGCAGGCCAGGCCTGAGACAGGACGCCTGCCACATTGTTCGCTGATGGAGCAGACTGGCTGTCTCCTCCTTCGGGAGTACCGTCACGCGCGGGAATGTGGACAAAGGAAATCATATCTGCAGCATTCGCAAGAGTACCAAGGAGGAAATGCGGCCAAACATAGACCCTGTAAATGGGCTCCTCGTCATTCCACCGCTCGCAGACCTTGCAAATCAGCTGCTGCACAGTTCTAGTCCAAACAAAGCCCACAGGGCTCCAGCGACTCTGACCTGATGCCGGAGAAGTTCAGCTTGACGAAACCTGCAACAATTAATATCCATCAGCCTTCCTTCATCCAAGCGTAGCACCTACAAGGCACGCCTCTGCCAGACACACATCGCGTCACGAAGCAAGCAGCGCGGGTGGCCTCAAGGAGATGAAATCCTGACCAATCAACGAAACGGATCCCAGCGCAGGCACCTTCTGCCAGCCGCGCCCGCAAGGATTCCAGCAGCTGCTCCTCACGAAGGATGACAGGTGATGGGGTGTAAGTGGAAGCAAGAGCACGGTACTTAATCACATAACAAGCAGGATGCGCAGAGTAAGTAAGGGAACGCTACAGAATTTTTGTCCTCTTTGCGAAGCTGGTGTCGCCTGGAAATCCTTTGTGAGGTTTCCGCCTGACTTGTTGCACTGGCCTACTTGCCCATTTGCACACAGCACGCAGACCAGACCGGTCAAGGGCCTGAAGCACGGAGCACCGTGCAACCGATGCCCATATGTGCACACAGAATTCTAGCAACCTGAGCCGCTCAGTGCTTGGATGTTGTTGTGCGATTAGTAACTAGTATGCAGGAGCCAGAGCACTCGCCTTCAATGGTGGGAAAGGGATGGATACAAGTTGCCGGCAAGGTACAGCTACATTTGCCCAGTCATGGGGTTGATCTTCACTAAACTGTCATGAAGTATTGTCAACCGTAAAGCACGATGTGAAACAGGGCATAGCTTCATGAAATCTAGCTGACCATGCTCGGACTGAATGAGTTGCACTGCACCAGAAGGCAGTCTCAGCAGGAGATGACCTATGGACTTCACTTGTATTTCGGGGCAAAGAGCACCAGGAGAGACTTCATTAGCGGCAACCCATGCGAATGCCAAAGCTGAAACCACGGCGCAATGGGCCAGGTTTTGGAGGAAGAAGGCCAAGCCAGAGGTTGGAACGAGAGCTCACACGAGAACATTTCTAGCCCTTTATTTTGACGACAAACCTCAGCCCCAATCTAGAAAGATAATGCTGCTCCGTTGGATCATCAGAGTGCCCGGCCAACCTTTGCACTTGAAGATTTCCATCGCAGCAATAACTCGCCACAGGCCTGCAACTGAACCAATTCCCAAAGAGGCACCACGTGTTAGCAACCTGAATGAGACTGTGCACTGATGTGCACTGTAGCAATCTCTGAGTCTGTCTACATGTCTCATTCCGCAGACTCGTGCAGAGCTTTTGCTTCAGCCAGGCTGTCACAAGTTGGCTAGATATGATCTGAGGAAACTGCGTAGGATGCGCTTCCAAGCAGACGACCGAAGTGCCCGCTTCCAATCCCACCTCAAAACCGACCGACAAACAGGGACAGGTCGGAGCAAGCGCCTGTGGCTATAGAATCTTTGAAGGTCTCTGACATGAAAGCTTCAATGGCAGTCTTCAACATCCGTCATTGACACCGGACAATTGAGGTCCAAGCAGAAACAGTCGCAGCCAGTTTGGAGATCCCACCGATCCTCAAAGATGGAAGCACATTTGACTGTGAAGCGGCAAGATTCGTTGAGCCACCAACCCGACGCCATGAACGATGCAAACACGTGTTCCCGGTACCTCTGGCCCACGTGTCCACAATATGTCAAGCAAAGACTGCACGCACACACACACACAAATCTGAAATTCTCGGGCGCAGTAGACAGAGCTGCAAGCCAGGAAGCACTGAAACTAGACAGCAAGATGAGCTAAGACGAGCTGTCTTGCCCAGACGCATCTCTTGCATGTAAACAATACTGTACGACCCTAGGCAGCAATGCTTCCGCACAAACATGCTTCATGAACCTACACCTGTGAGAGACGAGTTTAGCTTAAAAAGGGAGCTTGTCATGCGGCACCTTGCTGTAGCCAGCTCCGCCTGCTCTCGCTGTTGCCGCTGCACTTTGAGCCTTGCCTCGTAAGCGCTCACATCAAACCATCTTGCTTGAATTTGCTTGAGGAGCTGTCAGAGGAATGGAGACAAGTCTGACTGCAGCAGGTCGGCTGTTCTTGAGCAAGTCTCTCGGCAAATTAGTGCAGGTTGTTCAAACGGCTTTAAAGAATGGTTGCCTCTGACTCCTGGCGCAACTGGAGCACCTGCTTTTGACGTCTCTCCTGGGCAAGTTTCTGGTATCCAGAACAGAACAGGTCACATAGACTGCCTTGAAGGCCATTCGGTGCCACCGGAGAAGTATCAGCTGCAAGCCGCCCTCATCCAACGATCTGCACATCACCTGGCTTTGAAAATAACTTCACACATGCTGATAGCATGGAATGTGGGGACTGCGCAGGAATGACAATGTTGGAGTTGAGTTGTAGGCAAGGTTGCTTACTTCTGTGGCCTGCGCGACCTTCGTCTGAGCAGTCCGCTGCCGCTCGAGCAAGGGATCCACAAAGCTATCGTCCTGACGTCAACACTCCGAACATTGACTTCAGCTGTCATCAGCTCTCGCAGTTGCACTTCAGCAAATGCACCACAAAAGCACGTGTGCTTGCAGCAAGATTGGCGTTCTTCAAATAGTGTCGTCTTTTGAGTGCGGCGAGCCTCTGCTTTGCGCTGAAGGTCCTGCATTCACATGAAATGCCTGTTCGCGTCTAGCCCTTTGCATGCTGCATGTGGCGGAAGCGTTCTGAGACATCCAGTTGCAACTATCATTCATGCACGGGCTCTCAAGAAGGCTGTCGTGCTAATAGGACTCCTCTGCTCGCATCCGACTCGCGCCATGTCAGGCAGGCTTGCCAGCGCACAACATGCGAATCCACCCACCCCCGCGACAAAAGTGCAAGCTAACAACGGCCAATACGTCCTTGAACTGTTGTTCTCTGTCAAAAGCTGCGCTCAAGGCGCCTCATAACAACAAAGCTTCTGAATATCATGGGTCTATCTCTGACCTACTCTAAGACCGAGGCTGATCCTCCAAGAAACAATGACGCTTCGGAAGAGCTTGATCCTGAGGTACATAGCCCAAGCTGCAGCAACCTGGCAGCCCACCATGGAAGTGTGCAACAGGTCTCAAATGTGTCGCCTCCTGAGCAGCTCGGCGAGCAGCAAGCATCGAATGATGCTGCAGAACCTCAATGTCTGCGGTCTCTTCAAAGGCAACTCTCGCAACTGCATGGGCAGAAGGCCCTCAGCGAGGCTTCCAATCGAGTCAGGACTAAGCCATGAGCAAACCAATCCTTGCCAGCTACAACAACGCATTCCCCATGAGAATGCTTCACCACTGCGGCCTCCAGCCGCCGTCGATCGCTGACGAGGCTCGCGCACGCCGCTCGTGCAGCCTTGCTTAGCACGCAAAGTCACGAAGTCTGTGGCTGTGGAGGATCCAAACCCCAAGACCAAAGAGTGCCCACGACGCTGTCAAAGAACCAGCACTGGCCAACTAAACACTCTAAAGGCAGCACTAAACCACGGCAAACCCACCTCTTACAGCCTTGCCTCCAGTCTCTCAAACACGTCGCCGGCTGCACATGCTGCCTTGCCGCATTGGCAGCCGCGTTAGCTCTGATGACTTTGGCTTCATGACAAAAATGCCTCTGTAACACTGGCGTTCCTGCGCCAAAGCGACAAGGCCTCGGCGCAACTAGTCTCAGCAGTGTGTGCAGCCGGCTTGCCATGACTTGTCAAGGTCTGCAGAAGCTCACCATTCGCATCTTGTGGCGGACGGCATAGGCAAGGTGAGATGTGCCCTCCTCAGCTTATGTCTGACGGGGGAGTTCTAAAAATCTCGATCTGATTGAACATGTGCAACACGGGACTCAGGTCTGATCTAAAGCGCGGTTTGCCTCGGGGAGCTTACTGCCGTGTCCGACAAGCACAATGGGAAAGCGCATTTGCGGCTGATCGACAGGAACAGGATGCGAGCAAATTCTCCAGAGCACAGTTAGGCCCGGACACGTTGTTGGTCTTGAAGTCTTCCTTGCTTTATGATCTTTACGTCACAGGACTCAGCTTCTTATCCAACCGACGGCGCAAGACGGCTGGGCAAGCGCGCTGGCCGCTTCACCAACTTGTAGTTTGAGACCTAGGATGACAGAAATACACGCGCGCAGCGCCTTGACTGTATATTACTGTATATGCATGTGACAAGTCTGGAATTATTGCTAGATCGTTGTTCACCTTGACCTGCGTCCGAACATCTGGGGCTAACGTCAACCACCCGACGATTCCCGCAGCCAAACAACAGCAGGAAGGACAAGTAGTTCCAGCAACACGCTGCTCTTGGTTCCAGCACAATGTCTACACGTGGTGTTCTACGCCTCCTCCGCGCTCTTGCAACATACTGGCAAGCTTCTAAGGTCCCTGGGCTGGGAGGTCGCCAGCCAAGCAGGCTCTTGCGTCGGTATACACATCTCAACAGAACCGTGAGGCGGTTTGGTCAAGAAGTCAGGCTTTGTCTGACCCAGGAGCATATTGTTTAGACCCTTCCGCTGCATCCTCCCAACCCTCCTCCAAGACAGCTTAGTGCCGTTGTACAAGAAGTCACAACTTCTATGCTGCGGGAAACTAAGGCTGTAGAGTTGAGGGTTGGTGGCCTGCAAATTGATCCTCAGGACGCATCGCAAAGCCTGACTGTCATGAATCTTCCACTTGGCGTGGACGTCAGTGAGAGAGAGAGAGAGAGAGAGAGAGAGAGTAAGAGAGAGAGAAGTTCTACGCTAGCAGGGAATATTAGGGATACGTTGCCGGCTTCCTCGCCTTTGCACATGAGATTGCAACTGCTGGAGAGACTGGTCACGGGCAACATGCGTTGGGTACGCCTTGGATGGTTTGCGCTGGGGTAGGTTTCGATACGGCCAGCGCACACCCCGAACCCTATACCCCCCCTGCATGTACATTGCTCTCCAGGTGCTTGTTGGTGTCAGGTCGCATTTGTTGGTCAGGTGTCGACCGGTAAGTGGCCGTTCTTCCACTGTTTTCAGCCCGCCCGCCCGTTTCAGGGAGGGGCCGGCTCTGCGGCTATCAATCTATGGCCCAACGGCCATTGGGGCGGAATTGGAATGCACTGCAAAAGGTTGGTGCCCCTCCCCAAAAACATATGCATTTGCCGCCAAAAGTGCCATGCCATGATTGAGTAGTGTGGTGTACTGTGCTGGGTGTAGAGGGTTCGGGAACTACTTCTGGACAAGTGGAAGCCACAAATGCACCCAATCTTTTCAGCTCCTGGGACTGCGAGAGAGGAGCGCCATTGGTTGCCATTTTGCGAGGACCCTCCACGTGACTCGCGAAAGGCAGCCAACGAGCACCAAATCAAAAGTCCAGAGACACTCACACTTCTTCAATTTGCAAGGACTGCACGTGTGCATCTGTTGAGGGTCGGGGGACCAACACTCCAAAGGCAACAAAAACTCTGTTCTTTGGAGGCACTGCGAAGTCACAAGCGACACGCGGGAGAAGCTCTGGTCTGACTTGCGCGTTTGTTTTTGGGTGAGCTCGCAAATGGCTGAAACAAAAAGGATGTGCAGGAACTACCTGAGACGCATCCCACCGGAGACGCACCTTCCCCCAATTATTATACGTTACAAAAAAATCTTCAAGTTTCTCTATGTCGTGGGCCACTTATGCCATGCAGCTGCTGGAACATTGCATGCTGCAAGATGTGATACCGCCTTCATGTTGCAAACTGTCTGTGCAGACTTGGACAGAGGGTATCAAGTCGCCTGTGCCTGAGCGATTTTTTGATTGGGAGGATGGCATGTGGGCCCAAAATACAAGTGTGTCAGCATCCAGAGCAGAAATCCTCCAACAAGACATGGCAAAGTCCAAAAGCGGTCAGTGAAAAGCGAGATACAACAGAGCATGCGATGTGATAATGTACTTTTGTCCGTCCTTAGTGGGAAAAACGTCTGGCAGGCAGCACTTTTAAGTTCTGAACGGCGCTGATAGGATTCGGCTGGATGGGGTAGCTGGTTCTCAGAGATGCATCAACTACTTAGCAGGCGGGGGGGTCATACAATATTCGGACCAACGAAGCATTCCAATATATGGGGTTATGTTGCTGCAACCTGACGCTTGCCAACGTCCGAAGCTGCAGTTTCAGTACCTTCCCCCGACCTCTACCCACAGCACCCCAACGTGATCCGGGATCACCCACTCACAATGTGTCCTCCCGAATCCCAGGACAACCGCGGCAATACAGGGATCAATAATGTAGAGCAGTTTGCTGCGGTTGCTTCTAGTCTACGGGGTGCTCCTGTGCTACTCAGCGTTTGCTGTCACATCTTCCGCTGGCAAAGTGTCCGGCCATGACGTGCTGCTTGCGCTTCTGACCTGCGCTCATGTTGCACGAGAGAAGACAGTCACATGCCTCGCTGCATCATCCTACGTGGCAGGGCATCGCCTCTGATGCTTCAGAGCGAGGACAAGGCATGCGGCCCAACTGCCCCAATACCGGCAAAGCCTTTGTCCACTGGCTTTCCCCGCTTTGCAGTGCATGAGCGAAGCTTTCTGAGTTTGCAGCAGCTGGCGATCCGCAGCTTCCTGTGAAAACTGAACTCACATCACTGGTGACTTGAGACAATCCTAGCCAAGATGATGCACACAAGCACCTGCCAAGCGTAGTTCAGCTGGTGTGCAGCGAGCCGTCGCCTTGATGTCGCATGAGTCACGCGCTACATGAATCTACAATGGTTCTTGTGTTGCTTAGCAGCGAGCTTGCCAAGCAATTCAACCTCTCGCCGCCTCTGCCTCAAGGCCAGCACAATAGCCTCCGATTCAACTGGTGGATAACTGGTGGACAACAGGCAACTTTACATCACCGGAAAATGCTTATCTGCCTCGTCAGACGAGCTGGTGGAGCGGCGCCAGGTCCATAAGCTCGAGAAGAGCAAATGACGCTGCGTCCGCCTGGTCTCCACATACAAGGACTCGGATTGTCGGATCACAACATCTGAGACCGCAGGCTGGATGTATTGCTGAGCGGTCCTGCAATTTTATAAAGCGCTTGTCGTGTTTGCAAGCTGACAGCTGTCCAAACGTCGCAATCACTCCTGAGGAGAAGCTGACAGCGCGAAGTTCCGCAGTCCTTCTCAAGGTCCATTCATCTCATGAGCGGTATCGTAGGATTTCGTCGTGGGCCTTGGATGGATGGATCTTCGTGGAGGCCTGCAAGAAACTCGCCCAACGTCAACTCAAGTACAACATGGTGTCAAGAATCTGCCTTCTCCAAAGGCAAGTTTTTGTGTGCGACGGCTTCGAGTTCAGACGCCATGCCTGTCAGTTTACTGCTTCATCTGCATCTAGCCATCTGCAATCCAAAGCTCTTACTGCTTTGTCCTGAATCGGCTGTCTGAATTTCAATGAATGCGGAATCTTGATCCAGGCTTCCGGCGCCATAACGTCAATATGACTCTCAACCTGTCCGGATCTCAGGCACTGCACTTACAGCTTTTTCGGTTTGTTCGATCCGCTGGGGCAGAAACAGGACGTGATTGTGGAGCCCTACGGGCCATGGGTACTGGAAAGAACCCGGAACCCCTGAAAGACGTCACGTTGGGTTGTCGAGAACTCTGCAAGCGTTGAACGCAGTAGCAAGAATCTGAAGCCAGGGATCCTCACAGATCCCTAAGAAAGCCGACTTATAATCCCTAAATCCATCACGTACATGTGTATCTGTATATAAACATATTATATTACCACGGGACAGGCAGAGAACTGGTGGAGGTACCAGATATATGTAAAAAGAATCCCCACGGAGCCGTGGAGCCGGCCTTGGCTTAGCAGCCATCAGCACTTGCTGGGAGATTCTGTCTGCACCTGGCAAGACCCACCCCCCAAAACCCCAATGGATCCTCAGAGTAGCCCCTACATAACCCACTATAGTAGGTTCCACCTTCTGTTCCAAAACCTGGAGAAGGTTTGGGGCCCTGCAACTCTTGCTAGCAGTCGTGTGCTCCGTTTTCAGATTTTCCAGGGTTTCTGCAAAGATGCAAGAGGCATACCGGTTGCAAGTCCGACAGCATATTTGTCGCAGCTGGTACTTACGTTTGCCTACAAGAAAAAGATCGCGCTCTGATTTGGTCCGAGGGTGTTCGTCTGTGGTCTCCTTTCTGGTAAGACATTTTCAATCTCGGTTCCAAGCTGACATCTGCCCGCTGAATTTTTGCACATTCAGGCTAAGACGATCTACTTTCTGGTGCCAACTAGATGATTCCCAGGATGAGTACCAGGTGGCCTGACGTTTCAAAACTTGCGCTACGTCGCATGATTCAACTAAAGAGGACGATGTTGAAGTGCTTCTGAGTCTTTTATCACGCGTTGCAGCATCTGCCACAGTCATCAGCGCGTGTGCAGTCGCCCCGATTTATGCGGGCGATATCTCGAATTGGAGCTGGCTAGGACTAGAATGGGATCAGATTCAATCGCCAGGGATGCGGTGCCCAGAGCTGGGTTTGTTCATGTTGTCAAGCAACAAGACTTTACTTTGAGAAATAGGGTGATCTCCCCAACTCTTGCCTCTGAGGCTGCGCAGCTACTGTCCCCCTCTCGGTGTTACAGCCATGCTAACAACAATGGAAACACAAACAACAATGCAGAGCGGCTGATGTGTTCATGCAGACAATTCCGTCTGTTAGCGCTGGCTGAAGCATTCCTGTCACCAGCTGGAATTAGGTCAGCACAAAGCCACCGAAAACCAGATGCGATAATCGTGGTACTGCTGTTGACCGATGGAAGCTGAGGATACTTACCCACTTCTACTAGCGTGCAACACGAAAGCCAAATAATGAGGGCACGGCTAACAGCTGTCCCGCAGTGGGCATGGTGCTGCCTCTGATGCGTCTGGGTGCTGTGAAGCCTGCTGCTTCGTTCAGGCCTGGTGCCGGAAGCCCAAATGTCAAAGAAGAGCTCAACGTTTGCTCTGTCAAAGAGAACCTTATGATGTGAGCCGAAGCTGCATAAAAGCTGCCGCAAGCACAGCAAGGCCAGCACGTACAGCTTCCTGTGCCCCCTCCTTTCAATTTCGAGCGCAGCCTTGGAGGTACAAGCTTTCCAAGTTCAAGTTGCAGACACTGTAACACCCTGAGAAACGCACAGCTGACACCCAAAATCTCAAGACTTGGCGGCATGTCTGCAACCTTTTCAGTAGTTTTCCAGCACGCCAACACTTCTCATGCCAACATGAAACTGACCGACCTCTGGCAGTCTTGCAGAAGGGAGAGACCCGCATTGCAGCAGCGGAGGCAATCCTGTCTGGCTTTCGCTGTCTGGCTTTCGCAGTTTGGCTTGCCACGCAGCAGCCTTCAGTGCTGCATACAGCTCTGTTGGGGGCTGGACTCTTTTCAATCGCTGATTGGCATTCTCAATCTGCGCTTCTGTACCTCTGCAGCTCTTGCGTTTGGCCTCTTTCCATAAAAGATTCTGCGCCGGACGTTGCCTGTGATCAAGTTCCGCTTCTCGCGCAGTCCATCTTGCAATGCAGGATGCGGCATCTAAGGGCACTAGCACAAACTTGGCCCACCCTGCATCTGCAAGACGTGGTCAAAGCAGGCCAAGCGCCAGCTTCGAAGCAGCCTACGCAGGCATTCAAATTTCAGGCACTCGTCCATCTGCTTGGACACATCATACTGCTGCTGACATTAGAGGGGCATGCAATGCAAGCATGCAACTGCGTTGCAGGCAAAACTTTGAGCAGGCCGTTTTGCGTGAGTCAGCTCAGAAGGTTCTGCCGGCATACTGCTCCTGCAACAGGTCGCAGCCGAAAGTCTGAGCGAAAAGCATACGAGGGTGATCTTGAGCTATTTGGGCAAGCCTCCTTTCCCGGGGCTTCAAGACCACTAGCCTTCCATGGCGCTGCGCATCCTGCACCTTTCCCACGAGTTCCGAAGATGCCTTGAAGACCGCGGCAAGGAAGCGGGCAGATGATTTCAGCATGCGCTCCTGGCACAATCTGACTTAGTTGTAAACCAGAGAAGGCACGAATTCCTGAGTCCTGAGTTGGGAAGTCAACCCGGACAATTCCAAAGCGCTTTGCATAACCTTCTCCACAGACTTGACTCGCGCAAATCAGTTGGAGCGATGTCTTGAAAAGGCTGGCCTTCAGCCCATTCAAAATTGTCCAGGAGAGACCATGCAAAGTAGCCACGTACCTTGTCTGTCACAAGTGAACTCTTGCAAGCTGCAATCAAGTCTGCATGTGGGGGGGGCAGACATCTGCACCACGGGAAATGGCAGCGTGGACAGCGCTCAAGTGAGCCCTGGCTCACACCGGTGAATCCCGCTTAAAGTCTCGCTTGGCAGGGTCACAGATGGGCCTGAAAAAACGCACCCGCTCTGGGTCATCGAAGACCATTCCTGACTCTGGCCTGGGAAAGCCAAAGATGCCAAACCCAGAGGCGGACACTGCCAGGCCAGTACGACTGTTCACGACTGCCCAAGGTGCTTGCAACATGCAGAGCTCATGGCCTCCAGATCTCGCCTCCAGCCCATGCTGTAGGCACTAGCGCATCTGACCTTGCAGGCACAGCGGGCGCTTGCAGGAATTGTGTGGCGCTGGGGCCAATGGCCTTCGATCGAGCTCGGCCTTAGAATGACCGTACATCGCACGCTGTTTTGCGGAGAACATGAGGAGTGAAAATTCAGCCGGGAATCTGATTCTTCACTTTCACATGCACATCCATTCTCCGTGATGAAGATGCCGCCGACCGGGCGGTACCGCTCCTTCAAGCAGGATGTTCAATGCCAAGAGCGTCCTCTTCAAAGAACTGCTAGGTTCAAAGACAAAGAAACAACATAAGATGAACGACTGCAACGCTTTAATCCTGAATGTGAAGAAGGATTTCCCGCAGGGACCATGGTACGATTGGCCATCCCATGTCGGTTCTGTCCCAGTCTTGATCGGTGTGCCACCACTCGACTCCTGACATTGTTGCATTGAACACGATTGCTGCTAGAGCAACTCTCGGTCAGCATGACTTGTGGCATAACAGCAAGTGAACCAGAATCATGTCTGAGCAACAGGCCAATGTCACTCCAGTAGCCAGAGCCCTGACTTGCAAAATGATCCATTGACGCAGAAAACTCCAGTTGTGCCTGTTGTGCCCTTGACTCCTCCCTAAGACAAGAATCCAGGCCGCTTCCAAAGTTGGATCCCATGTGCTAGAGTCGCAAGAGCTTACAGGAGTAAACAGAATCAGTGCAAATCCACCCTCATCAAAAATCTATCTCAACAATGGAAGGTCGTATCGGATGATATCTTACACACGCATGAATGCCGCGTTGCGATGACCTCGGTGGGGTGTTGGGCAGCTTTGGCAAAGTTGGCGCTGTAGCTGTTCCTGAGATGTGGCCGAGCACGAGGCGCAGGTGGTGAGGAGCATTGTTTGACTGGCTAATGTCAGGAAAGCGCCTTCTCCGTTTCATGCTGTCTTAACACAATCGAGCGGTCCAAGAAAGTGTCATGCTGCTCGTGGAATCTACCACGTTTCCTAATTGATATTGGTTGCCGTACGATACATGATAGACAACCTGTCCACAGTGCAGCCCCAGGTGCAGGCCAAAGAAGTCACTCGAGCCCTTGAGAAGCGCAGACTCAGCTGGCGTGAAAGCTGGAAGCCTGCCGAAGATACAATTTGCAAAGCCTCCTGCACAAGTAGCACTAGCCGCACAAGCCTCTCACCACAGGTTTCCCTCATGCATTTGGGATAATCCTTGCCACGCATAAAGCTCGATAAGATTTTGCCAGCTGCGTCCAACAAACATTGCAGCGTACATATGAGACGGAGACCCCGTGAAACACCGGCTCCGCAAACCAGCCAAGGGAGAAGTCCATTGCACGCTCAGCTGCTCGACGGTCCTCCATGGCAACTCCTAACCGAAGTGGCCTGAAATGGCCCGAAAATGTACCACTTTAATGGGTGATGTACTGGTGTCCTCCCTGGTGCTCTCCATGGGTTGGCGCCAGTCTGCATTCAGCGAAATGCCAATCTGCAATGGGAGGCAACAAACAGACAAAGCCGCGGATTCACGTTCGTAAGCGCTCGGATGTGGTAAAGCGAGCCGCCTGACCGTTCTGATCTGCAAAGTCCTGAGCATGGCATGGCATTATGTGCAAGACACATCGAGGTTCAACTTGAATGCAAATATTTCGATCCAACAGAATCCAACAGGCACCCTGAATGGCTTCCATTCTGTTCAAGCTTGTAAATAACAATGGATGGATACATATCTTTCCCTTCATAGCCTCTGCCGAGCAAGGCCCCACTCTAAGTCGGGGCGCTTCTCGGTTTGTACCGTTGCTGCTGTTTCAAGTCGCTCCGGAACACAGAACAAAGGCGCAAGTGTATAACCCTGATTCTCTCGCCGAACTGGCCAGAATCACCAATCAAATTACAAAACGTAAAGTGCTCTTGCAACCGTTTTGGCCGAACCTTAAACACCCTGGCCACATCCGCACTGCCTTCTAACTACAAGAGAAAACACCCCCAAGTCCTCACGATAGACTCGCACAGCTTCCGCATGCGCAAGGAGCATATGGTGGCCTGTGCATACTATACAACCGCCTTCAACCTGTTGGATTCTGCTAAGTTGGATGTTAGCAGCTAGGGCGAGTAACAAAACGCCTCAACTTCCAAACACTCACAAACTTCTTTCGCGTTCTTTCGCTTTGGGGTGCTCGCATCTAGGGGGTGCCGGACATGCAGGACTGTTGGCTTGGATGCACACACTCCAGATTAGTGAAAAGGCAGTGAAGGCAGCAAGCTCTGTTGAGCAAGGATTTCTGTGCCTTCCAAGCTGGCCGATTGCTGCGTGGTCACACTTAACGTGGAAGCCTTCCGGCCTGCCACGTACTCGGCCGCATCAGTGTGGCCAGGTGCATGGTCGCCAGTGTTGTAACCCAAGACCTGCCAGATGTTCTCATGGACAATCAACCAACAAAGCATAGCAAGTGATGCGCTGAGGCTGGATCCGCGCTGCACCAAGGCCTTTCCAGATCGGAAGCTGTGTCGCCAGTGCGCTGCGTGATCATGTGAATTCTGAGTTCTGCACTCATTCAACGTGATCCAATGCTTCACGCGATCACCAAAGCTCTCGAAGCAGGTCCGGGCGTATGTCGAAAATGCCGATGTTATGGAATCCTGCCACCCATCCAACTTGGCAAGTACCCAACGGCCGATGACAAAATTCGGCAGTCCTGTCCTTGGAATCCAACCAGTCAAGCTTCGAGGGCAAATCCCAGTGATACAGAGTAACCCAAGGAACAATACCTGCCAATGCCACATGCATGCACACTTGCACCACTTGATGCCTCACCGCAGGCTGGTCTCCTGCTGCAAGCAAGCTGTCGATCAAGTCAGAGTAGAACTTGATCCCTTCCTGACACCAACGCCCCGAAGTTGCAGCTCACGAGCAATGAGGGCATCAGGCCTTGTTGATTCCTCCAGTTCCATTCGGTAGAATGCGGCTCCATGAGATCGAGAATCGGTAAGCCTTCACATTGAGCTTTGACATCACGTCCACGTCCTCCTCGGCGAAATCTAAAGATCTGGCAACGGACCGGCTTCTCTTCGGAATGGCGTGGTGAAGTCAGATCTTGTTAGGTGGCTCCAAAGCTGCCGAAGCTCCTGAAACAGGTGGTAGTGATCGCACGCAATGTCGCCCGTGGCACCATCGCTCGTGGTGCCAGGCAAATGGGAAAACTCATCCCAAATGGAAGGCTTGCGCCCATGCTGGTTTGCTGCCCCCTGGCAAAGTCATCTTGAGCTTAAATGATTCACCCTGCCTCTACTTTGAGAAAGGCATACTGGATGGCCTCGATCTGATATGCAGATGTAGCAACACCGAAGACAAAGGGCTCCGGAAACTCCAGAAAGCCGCTCCGAATGGCCGGCCTCTTGGACTCTTTCAGTTTCAGCCATCTCGGACACATGAACATACTGCAACCGGTTCGCTCGGCAGGCTCTGCCGCGCGAACCAACCGCTTTCGACGAGCATATGCCTGGGTGCTCTCCCAAGTATTGCTTCGGACTCAAAGCAACTCGTAACGGATCTGAAGGGCCATGTGTGGGCCAAGCAGAATGTCAAGAATTTCAGGAATTTGGGTTTACCTGAGCAAGTCTCTGAACTGCCAGCGCTGTGGCTTTGGCTTGCCATCCTTATGCTGACCAGCAGCTGTGACCGCTGCAACCGCTGCCGGGGTCAAAGCGCTGTCTTGCTGCGCTGAAACCTTCAGTGGGGCACGTGTTGTCACGATTTGTCACGTATTCACATCAGATCATCTAATTCATTTACTTTGTGCTGCATGTAGAGCCGGCATGAAATGCTCTGTGACATGGTTGATTTGCTGCGATTTCTGGGGAAGCGACTCCGCACTGGCCAAGGCAGCGGCGAGGAAGGGACTGCCTTGGCTGAGGATCCAATTTGCCGTTTCTCTTTTGCAGCTGATGCTGGGCCAAGCTGCCACGCCAGATCTACAGCGCGCGCTGATGGCGCAAAGCTCAGTGCCATGTTGCATCACTTAGGCGTGCTCGCTGTGGCTGTCTTCAGTGTCTGGTTGATGACATCTCCCCTGTGTTTGTCTGAAGTTGAAGGCTCCGGTTGTGCTGAACATAGCCGTCGCATGTGACCGTGGTGCTCGCTTTGTGGGGTATCTGCATGTCATGTGTTTGCAGCAAGTTGGCCGTAGAGGCAGGCATCACATCGACGGCCTCCTTTTGAAAATCGACGAGAGCTGGTCCTGGGCCAAATCTGTCAGCAAATGCTGCCGCCTGGCGCATCCAAAGTTGAGGGAGCTTAGCAAATCACTTCGTTGAGAATGCCGCGCCTGAAGGTTCGCAGCCTCCAGAGCCAAAGTGCTTTGCGCAATGTGCTGCACATGCGCACAGATTCAAAGCGCGACCTTCAACAAGCAGATTGAAGCCCTTCATGGCTCACGTGCCTCCTCACAACTTGCAGGGGTGGAGCTGAGTCTCCAGCAGTCTACATGTTATTGCATCTTTGAGCACCTGCTTTGCCCTGGCCGTTGCAGCAAGCTCCTCGGAGCACACCAAACTGAGCTTTCAGTAGACGTAAACGAAATCAGTCCTGCTGTTCCTGGCGGCGACTCTCGATGGCCTGCCGTACCGAAACAATGAGGCAGGGTTTGGGTGGATGTGGTGCAACAACCGCTTTCTTGGAGCTCCTCGTTCAACAGGGTGTTGTATTGTTCAACATGAGAACACTCCTGATGCGGAGCTTGCAAAGACATTGAAAGGCAAGGAAGGTTCAAGCCGGCCCCCTGCCCCTTTCCTGACGCGCCTTTCTGAGCCTCAGCTCGACAGGCAAGAAGAGGATGAGCATTTTTTGTGTCATCATGCAGGACCAAGCTGCCCCTGAAGCACATGCGAAACTTCCGCAGTGACCTGAGTAGTGTTCGATACTTTGCCTTCAGCTTGCAAAGACTGCCTCCCACTTGCACTCCAACGCATCCCCGTCGCTCATGTTGCTCCATCGTTGAATCTGGGACTGCTGCAAAGGGTGCGACAGATCCGGCAGGCAGCAGACGTTCCATGCCCTTTCCAAGAAACTCTTTTTGGGATCTCGACTGCACAGAATGATTCTCGCGTGGCGTGACGTGGACCGAGCCGAACCCTCTGGGCTGAAGCAGCCTGTTCGGCAATCATGGCGAGCGGCCATCTGATTTGTATGGTCCTACAATATTGACAATGGGAAAGGCTTTTGATTTGCAGGGACGCTTAGGAAGACGATATGTCGAGACGAGGTCTAAAGATCTCTCCTTGCTTTCTGGTGGATGTACAAGTCAAATTTCAAGGCATGCTAAATGATCGGGCGAAGCTGCTTGCGCCACCAGCTGTTCGCGACGAGACCTAAAGCTCACCACACATTAGCAGGGAACTTTTTCTAGTCGAGCGACTGCAACTGCAGGAGCACCTCGAAACTGTTGGAAGGCCAGGGCGCCAAAACTTCAAACTCCAACCAAGGCAGACCGTTCTCTTCGTCCAAGATTTCTCCAAACACTTGCAAGCCGTCCAGGGCCGTGTCCAGCTCGATCTGGATGCTGTATGTCTCCTTCCAGAAGGGCCGGCGGCCGCCTGAGATGACACGCGCTCGCAGGGACTCCTGATCCCAAAGATCTGCCGTATCGTGGCGTATGGCCTTTGCAGCCTCCTTCCACTTGCCCAAGGCTAGGTGTCGCCCAAACAACTGAGCTTCCACCCGAGCCCGTGCTTGCAACAAACGGAACTCTGTTTCAGTTTCGGGAGCATTGCCACCATCTGCGCTCTCTGGTGATGTTGCTGTGAAACTGTGCTCTGCGGAAACAACCGCCTCTGAACCGAGTTGCAGATCTTGTTCGAAGTCAATTGTTTCCAGGTTCTTGAGCGCCTCCCACTCACGCAACAAACTTGAATCAGTGGCATTTATCGTGGCCAGCAGAAATGCCTCTATCTCCAATACTTCATCTGTTTTGAATTCATCCGGAATGTTGTGTTTCATGGTCTTGTGCACCTGCGATAGGAAGCGAAGCAACAGCCCCTCTTGTTGAGTCACACGCTTCGACTTGTCTAGCGGGCTCAGCTTCTTGAGGAATGCAGAGAAGGACAGCTGGGAATCGAACATTTCCAGAGCGATGGACTTCGGTTGCAGAGATTCGCGCGACACCCATGGGTGTCGTTTCAGAAAATTGTCAAAAGCAGGCCACAGCGCATCTTCACAAGGCAGCCGGGGCCCCTTTCGATGCTTGACGCGAGCCTGCCAAGATCTGCCAAAACAAATTCCTGTTCAAATTTATATAGGGAATTATATTGGGGTTATGTAGGGATAATGGAAAAATGGAAACTACTATAGTACAATGGGTCATATAGGGGATAGGTATGGACAATGGAAAAGAAAATGGAAACAGTAAAAGCGCAAGCCTCAATGCCCTACATTCAATCTTGCTGCTTGGTTTCTTTAGCGAGGCTAGATGAGTCAAGACACAAAGCTACAGAGCTGCGAACCTTGCAAGGGAAGATGCGGCACGCTTACCAGAATGTGAATCGGTGGCATCGGCAAGATTCAGCCTTAATCCGGCCCTGCCGCCGTGGTCCAGGGCGGAGCCCGTGCCTAGAGGTTTACCTCTATACGGGGTGGCGCCGATGCCGCCGACCTTTTTTTCCGGTGCATCATTGGACCTCCGTTTCTCCCCGGGCCCCTCCCGGACCCCATCCCAAAACCACTCCAAAATTCACATGTGCTCCAACAGCGAACCCCCAGGGCACGGAAGGATTTTTGAAGGATTTTGGGGTTTCCAGAACCCCCAAAATCTGCATCATGAGCACGGCCGTTTTGAAAACTAGCCCCAAGGCCCCTCTTGGGGTACTGCTGAGAAATGACTAGCACTAATGAAAGGTCATTGGGCGCATGGCAGGCCAAAAATGGAAAAACGGACCCCCAATGATGCTGATGATCCTGGCCCTCTTGGCCAGCATCATCAGCATCATTGGGGTCCCGTTTCTCCTTTTGCCGGGTTGCTAGGCTGCCTATGCCCACTGGGCAAGCATGAGACAAGTTTGGCGTGCATTGCCCAGGCCGAAGCCTATAAAATATGCATGTTGCATGGTTGTTGGGCACGTTTTGCCCATATATCCAGCACTTTTGTGGCTCCTAAGCTTGTCCAACGCGCCTGCTATTGGCAGCTGATTTGCCCCCCAAAATGCATCTGCGGGCTAAAACATGGTCAGCCTGCACAGAGAACCATGTCTAACGACCAGAACGATCAAAAGCTCAAGAAAAGCTATCAACGGCAGGGCCGGCCCCTGCCGCTAGGCCTAAACTATCGTCATCATCTGAACACAACTGCTTCAACCAAGGTAGTTCAACCATGTTAGCGCACCCCCCCCCCCCAAACAATATATGGAGTAAAAGCCACAGCCAAAACCCAAGCCCGAATAGGCCGAGTGCTAAACTCAACTCAACCTGGAACCTCTCTTCCCCTCTTTGTTCAACCTCGCCTGCGCACGCACAACTGCCCGAGGTTCCTCGCAAATTGCTTCAATGACTGAAAGTATCGCCCTGGCCAGCTTCCAGTTGTCCCCAGCATAGCTCCATTGCAGCAGTGGAAGGACATCCACTAGAAACAACGACACATCTTCCATCAACAGGAAATCGCGCTGCAAGTTGCTATCAGCTTGCAGTTCTCCGTGCCTCTCTATCAGCCCGGCGCTTGACAGCGCTTCGATGTACTGACCCACTTGCTGTGTCCAATGCTGCTTCTCCTTCTTCCCACACAGAGATAACGCAATCAGCTCGTCCAATTCAGCCTGCCCATCCCGACCATGCTCCTGTGCACCTTGTAGCAAGCTCAGCACGTGACCCTGGCTCAGCTGGAATCGAGACCGCAGAGGCTCCGGGGATGCCGTACGCAATTTGGTAAACGTTTGCTCGTCCCATTCGACGTAATTGAACTTTGGAAACCTCTGTCGCTTCTTCAGCTTCTCCCGCTCCTTTTTGGTGTCGGCTGCCTTAATTTGCTCCTTTAATTTGCTATTGTATACCTCATGCGCAGGTGGCACTGCAACGACGCTGCCTTGGGTGTCGTACCCTCGTCTTCCAGCCCTTCCCGCAATCTGATGAAACTGCCGAGGGGTCACGAGAACGGTCGTCTCACCATTGAATTTACATAACTGGGTAAACAGCACACTGCGGATTGGCACGTTGATTCCCACCCCCAGAGTGTCCGTACCGCATATGCAGGTGAGCAATCCTGCTTGAGCCAGTCGCTCTACTAGTCGGCGGTACTTTGGCAGCAATCCTGCATGGTGCAGGCCTATGCCATTTATGAGGATTTGCCGCAGTCTGTCACCATATGGGGTATCAAATTCAACATCTTTGCACTCATCAGCTAGTGTTTGCTTCTCCTGCTCGCTCGGCGCAAGTTCTTTGCAGATCAATGACTGTGCTAGCGACGCAGCATCTTGTTGAGTGAAGCAGACAGCGTAGACAGGCGTGCGTCCTGAGGTGACGAGATCATCGATGGCATCCTTTGCTGTTACGAAAGGATAACACCAGTCCAGGGGTACCGGACGATCTGAAGACGTGATTGTCTGCACTCCTCTACCGGAATATGCTGAAACTGTGGAGTTCAATGCCTGGTTATCGCCCATTGTGGCGGACATGAGCAGGAAAGTAACGTGCGGAAGCCTGAAGAGGGGTATTTCCCATGCATACCCGCGGCTCTTGTCATCGAAGAAGTGGAATTCATCCATGACAGCATAGCTGAGGGAAGCGGCAGGGCCTTCTCGCAATGCGACATTAGCTAGAACTTCAGCTGTGCAGCAGATTGCTCTGGCGGTAGGATTGATTGAGACATCACCTGTTGCCATGCCAATCATTTCTGGGCCAAAGTCATGGCACAAGGAAAAAAACTTTTCGCTAACCAAGGCTTTAACCGGACAGGTATAATAAGCCCTTCTGCCCTCGGCAATTGCTCGGAACAGCATGGCCGCTGCAACCAATGACTTTCCGCTGCCAGTCGGGGTGCTCAGCACAACGTGCGAACTCCCAAAGACTGCATCAATTGCCTCCTGCTGCTTGGCATACAGCTGCAGCCCTTTGTCCGCAACTGCCTGCAAGAAGTCCTGTTTCATTTGATCAGGGTCATCCGGATGCTGTCGTGCCTGCAGCAATCGCTGCTTGAAGGGCTGAGACTGATCTTGCTGAGTCAAATGGCTTGCGACCTGCTCATCTGGGGAGTTGGTGTCATGTGTCGCATGCGTGATGCACTTGCGCTTGGTGCGAGAAACTGAAACTGCAATGCCCAGCACCAAGGCGGATGCATTTTGGTGGAATAGGCAAGCTCGGCCGGCTCCAGTTCGCTGTGGCCGGAAGGTGGTGCGGGTGACTCTTTGTGGGCTCACATCATGGCTGAGCACAGGAAAGGGAAGCATTCGGAATGTAGAAGAAGCATTGCGGCAAGCTGCTTGATTTTGGAGAAACGGCTACATAATTTGGAAGCTTGAGTTGCCTCGCTTGTTTTTTACAAGCCTGTTCTGCTTTTTCAACACGCAGTCTGCTCAAAGATCGCTGCCAATTGCTTTCCCTCATGTTCACCCAGCTGCAACTCTGAATTGTCACAGAACTTTTCTGGTTGCAGCGCTGAGTCCTTCGGAGACTCGATCGCTTCAACGCCACCACCAGCAAGCAGTTTCTGGGCTTCGTCAGCCCTCCACCTGAGAATGCAAAGTAGCTCTCAAAGATCTTCCAGCACTGCTTTGCGCGGAGCTCCACGGCAAAGATGCTTACGATGATAAGAAGACTTCTGATGGCGGATATGGCGGTGCAAACTGCGATCATAGCGCCAAGATGCGCCAACAGTTATTGCCGCTAGTAGGAGCAATGATTCAGATGTAGCTTCAAGTGCATGCGTGCGGCGGAGATTGCCACCCAAGCTCCAGGCTGACATTCCTTGTTGACCACACTCACCATTTCCTGAAGACACCGTCCCAGAACTTGCAGAACAGCAGTGACAAGAATGACAATAGTGCAATACAGTACCGCTTCTCCGTAAGCATAATTACAATGTGCTGCATCACGGCAGTATTCTGATGTTGATTGTCACCTGCAGTGCACCTACGTGCATTTGCTTCCCCCTAGAAAGGAGAAGGCAGAACATCACCTGCCCTACCAATGTTGGTGGCAGCGATGGTCAGCTCAATGCCTGGGACATGATCGTACTGGGCCCCGAACTCGCTCCTGCAGGTGCTCTTGGAACTTGTCGTGGCCAGCCTGTTGAGTTTTGATCTTTTGTGCTTGCCCTCGCTGGGCGGCCTTGTGAAAAAGACCCAACTGTTTTGGGGTAGAAGACGGGATCCCCAGAAAGCACCAAATCAGGGAGTCTCAGGCACGATCCCACAAGATCTCACCGTCATGTCTGACCTCACATCAAAACACCAATTTGAAACACACACACCGTTGCTTGGCTTAGCTTTACTTTTTCTCTCGCGCCGACCTTGCATTCCTATAACCTTACTTCCAGCAGGTGCATGTTGCAGGAAGCCGCCCTTCCCTATCTTCGTCTGGCTATACTGCACCATCATATCAAGGCAGGTCGTCAAAGGCCACAACCACCATTGTGTATGCTCGTCCATCATCATGTACTTGCCTGCAACTGCATCTTGAGCTGTTATAGAGCTGTCATGATGCTGGTTACATCTAGAAGCAAGTGTCCGGTAGGCCCCTTGCATTCGCTGGAAGAAATCATTGGACCACGAAGCGGTGGAGAGGATATGGACCTTGGAACACCATGCAGGACCTTCTTGCAATCTGCGGCAGCAGAACCAGTGCAAGTGCCTGTGTATGTTCCTCCTCCTGAAGCAATGCAGCCCAATGTCCTTAGAGTCGGCGTTGGTCCTATATAACCCTACTATGCTATAGTAGTTTCTATGTTATTTTCCATTACTGTATCCCTATTTAACCCTAAACCCAAACCATAACATACTTTGGATATTGGACACATGAAATTTATTCTCAGGCATGAGCGAATGCGATACCGCCAAACCCATCGCAAAGGCCAGAACCTCACTGTGAGGAAGCATACGTACCCCATCATGTTCTGGCAGTCGCTATATAGCCTATATAGCATGTTCCCATATCCCCTACTAACTAACCCCATGTATATACCCTATCATATTATTTGGGATATCAGTGGGGATATATTGGGATAAGGGAAAAGAAATGGAAACTGCTATCAGAGTAGTTCCCAATAAATCCCAGTACATCCCCTATATATATAGATACATATATATATGGATATGCACATACCCCATTTATTATAGCAGTTTCCAGTTTCTTTTCCATTATGCCTACATATCCCCAATATATCCGCTATATACACTGCACCCGCACACGATTGTGCAGCTGCGCGGCCAGGGCAGCAGACAGCAAATGTACATCTGCATTTCCCCCTGCGGCAAATTCCATTTCTTTGAAGGGGGTGGAGAGGCTGCAAACGGCTCTCCACCTGTTTCCTATTGCTGTTGCGTGCTGGGCACGGTGTCAGGGGGTCATGCGTGTACACCTTTGGCATGGATGAAAATGAAGGATCGGCTGTTTCCCTAACAAGCGAAACTAACCATTGGAGCGGAAAAGTATGAAAAGCAAAGAAATGCGTTTGTGGATGGGGGTTGGGGTGACTGGTTTTTACTGGCAGGCAATGAGCCTATTAATTTCCAGCTATCTTCGGATTCTCTTCTATGGCTATGGTGTCAAAACGCTGACCTCGGCACTCATGATGCTAGCACGAATCGGCTGCTTTAAGCTAGCTAATAGTGCTACGAGGACCTGCAGTCACACCCCTGAGACCCGTCATGAAAAAGGGGAAATACGGACATGGGAATACGGTGCTTTCTTATCAAACCTTGCAGCAAGAGCTCACACAAGCGCCTAACAACACTTCGCCCTGCCATGATCTTTCTTAGCCCTTTGGACACGTGGCTGGAGTCTTTTTAACACCCCTTTGCACCGTTTCCTTTGGCCTGAGGGGTTTAGGCCTAGTCACGAGGATTTCTGTTTTTTGTCAACACATGTTGAATTAACACTAGTGGGGTGTCCTCTACGAGCCATCCACGCCCCCCGGGGGAAAACCAACTAAACCCCAACTTCTGATCATTCTTAACCACGAAACCTTCATCAGTTCATCCCGTGACGCTCATCCCTCAATATATCCCCGTATGACAGTATATCCCCATATGACACCCTAGCACACTGTCTAGGGTTTCGGTCTAGCGCCCTTATATCCACTATAAAATCTCCAATACCGCTGGCGCTTCTGCTGCCTTCAAGGCCATACTCCGCTCCATGAGCAGTCGCTCCCATGCCGTACGTACCCCTGCCACTGCCAGGGCTACGAGAGGTTCTCCTTTCGTTCAATCTTGTATTCGTGAGTGCCTAACCAAGAGTCCGCATGCTCGATGTGCTTCCGTCGGGTCATCAGCATGACAACATGCACGCCTAATCAGGGACCATGGGATTGCAAGCATCCAAGGTGTCTTTGCAAAACACGCACTCGGAAATCCTGGCGCCGCTGAACCAATCTCAACTGTCTACTGTCTGCCGTGGCTTTGATATGACGCTGCTAATTGCGTGGAAGCCTGTTGGAAGGTCATCCGGAATGGAAATGGCCTGTGAAGCAAGTCTAGCTGGCCGAGGACTGTCAGCATCAGTTGGCCTGCACTTGGCCTTCACTCGGCGGCCAAGGCCCCCATGGATCCAGCAGGGCAGCTTTGCCTTACTCTTGAACCCGTTCAATGACTTCTTCATTACATTTGTTCCAAAAAAGCTGCGACCTTCACATTAAGAATTTGGAAGCTTTGAAACCGTTTTTGAAAGTGAAGAAGAACAATCCCAGTGTGACAGCTTTCTTTTTTGGTGCCACTTGCAATCGTATCGTCTTGCAACATCTTGACTTAAAGCCTGCAACAGTTTCTACAGTATGTGTCTCCTTGCGGCCGATTGCTGTGAGGCTTCCCTTTATAACTGGGTTTGGAAGGTGAGAGCAGACCCTGGCAGCAAGCCGCTGCCCTAACATGGAAAAAGCCAATTTACATACCATGTCAGATGGCATCATGTTCAAGAATCGGTGAAAAGCGTTCCATCCAAAGGACTCTGTTGATTACAAGGGCCACGACCTGCGAATGCTGTTTTGGAAACCTCTTCACTGGGTAAGGGGTTACCATGGTACCCCCCAGATGAAAAATCTTGTGAGGCCTCATTATGTAGTCCTTAGTAGCTGAATGCTTAAGACACACGACAGCTCAACACAACAGAAACGATGTTTGTTCTGGCAGCAAGGCTAAGGCGGTACACACTATCGCACTCCATCCAACAGCTTCACACACCAGCACGAATTGTTCCGCACACGTAGCAATCCCTGGCAGAAGGCGCCAGAACAGATCGTTGAAGCTCCAATATCCCCCCCACGATCTGCCCGCGACTAGTCCCTACTAAAACCAGAAGCCCTATACCACAACCAGACGGTCCGTACTGCAACCGGAGGCTGATTTTAGGAAAACCACGAACCCCAGTATCACAACCAAATATTAACTTCACGGACAGCAAGATTTTCAGAATCGGATTTGCATTCCGAGGGAAGGAAATCTGATTCAATTCAAGGAAGCGTGGACCATCGTTCGTCAGAGTACCAAAAAATTGAATTTAAAGGGAGCACCTATAACATTGACATCCTTGAATCACTTCAGGGCATATGGAATCAAAAATGCCCAAATCATTCTGCGTGGCTATGACGATTCCCAAAGTTCGGGGTATGAAAAAGATAAGACAAGGCCCAGTCATAATACTTAGCTACCAAATTTCACGTACAAGGAACCAGTATGGGCCAAATCACAGTACTTTGATATGACTATTCCCAAATATCAGGGTATGCATGGCAGGGAATGAGAAAAGGCCAAATGACAATACTTAGCTATGGCTATTCCGGACTTTCAGGGCACAAGGAACCAGGCCAAATCATGATACTTAGTTATGACTATTCCCAAGTTTCAAATATAAGGAGCCAGCCTCAGAATCGGCCAAAACACAATACGTTGCTATGACTATTCCCAAAAATCAGGGTATGCATGGCAAGGAATGA